TTAGGGCTGCAAGTGACATTGGGCTTCATTAGCATCTGCTGAAATCTTCAAGCTTATTTAGGGAAGGGGGTTATGTTTACCTCGGTAACTATTGCGCTGTGGTAGTGGCAGTCCGGGGCGGGAGCAGTGGAGAACTAGCAGCGCAGGGAGTAACAAGCACCACGGCAATCATGAGGGATCGTAGCCACGAGGGTTATGATTGATGCAGCCTCGCACATGCGTGTGTGCCCGGGAGGAGCGAATGCGAACGGCGCAGCCTCGACCATCATAGGATTCCAAAGAGGTGTCCCAACAATTTCTGGAAAACCTCAGACGGACCCCCTAGCATGGGGAGACCCCCATATGAGCTTAGTTTAAACGCCGTAAACAGCGTTATATAGGGGATTCTGTGAGGGAGTAGTCTAGGGGTTATTCAGTGGGAGACTAGGAGTTTAGACTATGTATTATATATGTATATCCATATTTCTGTATGCTAAGTACATGGTCTTGATTTTGGCTGTTATGTTAAAAACAAGAAAGACGAAGGCTCCAACAAGCCTCTCTACGCCCTTAGTCGCTTTGTAAACTTACACTCTCCCAAACTGACATGGGAACCTCCCAAGGGAATCTGTAAAAACTATTATCCTTGGCAGCAGGATGCGAATGGGGTTCCATGACAAGTTGGGGGATGGTCAGCTCCTCTCAGGCAATAGGAGGTTCATAGGCGGGAACCCCCATAGATGGTTCCATGTAGTAAGTATACTTTGCACTCTTAAAGACCATACAGCAATCCTAGCTACCCCCATTTTACCCCACTTACTAAGCCCCCATGACGCCCTAAACACCCTAAACCCTAAACCCTAAACCGTGGAACTTGTATCTTGTGTCTGAGTTTAGTTTAACACAGGCTTGGCCTTGTTCTTGGTTTTCTTGCATGGTGCTGGCAAGGACTGAAGGAACAGAAAAGAACATGAAAATTGTTTCAATGGGGAATCAAATGGAAAAAAACATGTTACATGAAATGAAGACTACAGTTATGTAGGGGTATTGCTATTGTAGATCCTGTGGGGACTACGACATTGATGCATTCCCCCTTTTCCTGTCACCTGTCACACCTTGTGAGTTTAGGGTTTGGGGCCTTGAGGTCAGGGTGCAGGTAGGGGATGTTCTTTGCAGTTCCAGTTTCCCGTATACATATCTAAATAAATATATATGTATATACATATGTCTGTATATCTATATAAATATATATATATATATGTCTATATATGTGTGTGTGTGTATTGACACCTAAGATCCTAACTGTTGAGGTGCTTCAAGGGAGAACCCTTGAGATGACATGTAGACTCTAAATCGTCACAAAAGAATCCATTAAAGTTTAGAGAGCCCAAAGGGTCCATGTACCCAATAATTGGGTACTTGGGTTTGGGGTAATAACAATTATAGTACTGGTCTTGGGTAAGTATATGTTTTTGGGTACTTGGACCCTTAGGGGAGATGCCCAGGAAAGGTGTAAGCCCAATATCCTAGGATTGCAATCCTCAGCTTTAGAGGCATCGAGAAACCTCCAAGTAAGTGAGCTGAACAGTAAACCTTACAGCCTAAACCTTCAACCCTCCAGGTAACTGGGCTGAAGGACCGCTTTTATCCCCGCAGCGTCTTCAAACGTGTGGTGGCACCAGCAGTACGAGCCGGCTATCGTGTGGATGCTGGGCAGAAGAGCCTAAAAGCCTGAGAACCTATATGCAGATTGATTACCAAAACTGGGTCCATGGTTAAGGCCTTAGAGTTTTTTTCTATTTAGGTGTAGGCTTGTTTTTTCTGCAAGCATCCTGGCATGTCTGCGAGAACAATATTTTGCCTTCCTAGATCAAGAAGGACTAAGTCAACGTTTTTTTGTTTGGAGGGCCACCCCCCAACAAATGTGAATTTCTAAAAGGTATCATACCACCCGCAAAGGAACTTCATTGAAATCTTCCGGTAACTTTATTCAGCAAAGCTCTATAGCCTAAAACCCTGAAAGCATGTGGCACCTGAAGCCCATTGAGGATTACTATGCTCTTCTGGATTGGAAGCCATCCATTACTGGCAGTCTCATTACTGATGAGTCTGGGGGGACCTTCAACAAGAGGAAGGTTGAGAAGCTTCGGCTGGATTAGGGTTTAGGTTTTAGGGTTGAGGGTTAAGGGACTGGGGTTTAGGGATTAGGGTTTACTTGGAGGGTCATGGTGATTTAGTAAATAGGTTAATAATTATGAGAACTAGGGTTATTACATGGCTTATACTATATAGGGGTTATTAACTCACATACTCAGTCTCCCTGACCCTCCAAGTAGGGATTAGGGTTTAGGATTCAGGGTTTAGGCTGACAGCAGCTTGAGATGGTTACAATTAGAAGACCAGGAGAATCGATTGGAAAAGAACGGCCACAGAATTGGAATCTGGGACTGTGTGGTTGGTTTCCAGGCAGGAATGTCAAGATGTTGATCCTTTTGGGGGGTCCAAACTATCATAGATTTATGACTCCTAATATTCAGGGCACCCACAAACAAGCTTGAACACCCGCGGTTTGTATTTTTAGTCATACTGGGTCCTGCGAGTGTTTTTGTTCATTTGTTCGGTACATCTACAAATCAGTTGGCTACTTGCCCACTCCATTCTTATGTTTGGCCAGAAAGATGCTAGGATCACTACGCACCGTGCTCTAACATTTCGCTGTAATCTTAAGAACCAGCCGTATTAGAGTTCTCCATGTCAAAGTCTCGCAAAAACCTGAGATGAAGATGCGGTTTGCTAGTCACACTGCATCCCTATGGTTTATCAGGAGACTGTTGGCTATAAGAAATCCTTATAGTCCCCTTTAAGTAAATGGAATGTGGCTTTGGGTATATTATGATTAATAAGATTCCCATATACCCCATATTCTATCTACTTAAGGGTGACTATAAACCTCTGTATGGCGCCGTACTCGGTTCATATCCCAGATGGACCCAGGAACAGATCCACACTGAACCCACAGTTGCGCAACGCGAGCAAGAGCCAGGCAAACTGCTGTCTCCAGGTTTGTGCTAAACTTAGTCTACGGTTTCGCGAAAAAGTTACAAGTTTGGGCAATTGGTTTTGGGGTATGGTCAATGGATTCTGGACCTTCTCATATAGAGTTGAATCTGCTTGATCAACGTGAAGCATACCTACCACAATTATCTCCGAGTGGAGGTAGGTATAGCTGAAAGATGATATTTGTTCAAACCACCTGTCCCCCAAAATGGCCGCAAGGTACGTTTCCTTTTTGGTTGGGATCTCCTCTTGGTCAGCGAAGTTTGTGTTTGCCATGGTTTCTTTTTTCAACAACCTTCAGAGCAACTCCCAAACGGGGAATCACGCCACGAGGAAAGCCGTCATGCAAGCCATGTACACAACTGTCCTGAGGCATATAGAGAACGGAGAGGGTCTTTAACCCTAGCCTCTACATCTCGGTTTTAAATACCCGGCCACGCAAGGACCCCAAGCCCAAATTCTTGAGCAGAAAGACCCTAGCCTTCAGCCCGACTTTGAACTAATAGGTAAGGTCTATATCCCAAGAACTACCACATAGCAACTCTGCATTGAAAGGCTGTTAGCTGTTAAAATCACTGTCCAGAGTTTCTCAAAGTACACACTACATTTCCCCATCCTTGGATCCATCGACCCTGAATCAACCCTTCGTAATTAGTCACCATACTTCTTGTGCAGTGTAGGTGTTGGGCCTCGTATCGCGCTACGCCCGCGCCTTCGGAGCAAGTCGTCTCTTCCTACAACTCATGGACCCGGGAATCAAGGAGCTTCATAGATGTCATTAAATGACGGTACCCTCGGTTAAGCGGTGTCCAAAACCCCGGGCTCTAAGTCCGTCAGCAAAACCTGCGATGGGCAAACCCTAAACCCTAGACCCTAAACCCTAAATCCCAAACCCTAAATCCTAAACCCTAAATCCTAAACCCTAAACCCAAGTTTAGGATTTACAGGGCTAAGAGCTGAAGACTTGGGGAGCCTAGCCACGTGGAAGGGACCAGCAGGTGTTATTTGGAGGGTCAGGGGGGCTTAGGGTTTAGGGTTCAGGGTTTAGGGGTTAGGGTTTAGGGTTGAGGTCCAGAGAGACTTGGTAAGTGGATTAATAATCCCTACAACCATCCATGTAGTAACCCTAGTTATCGTAAAAGATCACCTAGTTACTAAGTCCATGTGACCCTCTAAGTAGGGTTTGAGTTTAGGGTTTTAGGGCTGTAGGGAGATGATTTGGGTTCCATTTATGGGTTGCGCAGGTCTTGTTTTTCAGAGAGGCTTATGTGAACATAGCTGGTAGTTCTAATGCATCGACAACGCGAAGACACTTGTCTCCTAATAAGAACCGGTGATGCGTGTCCTCTTCCCAGTATTTCTATCAGCCCATGGAAGCAGAAGTGGGGTTTAGAGTTCCGTGTTTAGACCCATATACATTCTTGAGGATGTTCATTGCTAAGGCACGGAGCCATGAGAAAGCAGTCTGAGGCCCGACTCCTGAACCCTGAGGCTCCCTACTTGTCCCTGTCCTTCATGTTCAAATCGCTATAACCCTCGTCGTCAATCCCGAGCTCAAACTGTGTCTGGTCTAGCCATTAACAGGAGGATCCTGTGCGAGCTGGTTGCAACCGCTATCTGGGCGAAGGAAGTGGAAACTCGAATAGAACCCCCTACTACCCTCAGAGCTCGATATTCACGATGAATCAGCATAGTCTGAGCTGTGCATATGTCTTCGTATATTTACATATGCCTATATTCCATACACATTTGTATATCATCATACTTATATACATATGTATACCATATGAAGCATGGAGGGCTACCATGGTGCTTTGGGGTAGCACTCTGATTAAACAGTGTAGATTAGCCCACGCTGCCGAAACCTTTGATGACGCCCTCAGATCTGAACAATGAACTCTACTCCCCAGACCGTAAAGCGCCATGATCTCAAAACTTGAAGCTCCAAGGCTATATCTTAAACCATGGCCTCTTCCCAGCCGAGCATCCAAGGAGAAGTTCTCAACTTCCGCCGGACGCGGCTGACATACAAGACTCCGGGATAGCAAAGGGCTGGGCTGGGATGTAGCCTTTCTTGGCCGGAAAGTCATGCTTGAGAAGTTATACCCATTTATAGCCATGACAGCCGCATCACTGCATCAGCTTTACATTTTTGGGAGTCCGTTCGAAGGAAGCTGGAAGTAAAAGGTACTGACAATCTTAGATTCAAGCCAGGTGCTAATTGCAGCGACGCACGCGGTTGCTAATGTCTCAGTACCGGTACCAGTCGTCAATAGCACGACCTAACAGAAGCATCAGCAGCCGTCGCAGCAACAGTAGCAGCGGCAGCGGCAGCGCTGCCAGTACTGCCCCCCATGCTGCTAAGAGCACCATCACCAGCACTGCCACCGCCACCATGGCCACCAGCAAAAACCAAAGTACCACCGCCCGCCACCGCCAGTTGCAGCCGAAGCAGAGGCAGAAGCTGCAGCTGCTGCTGCGGATGCAGCTGTAGTTACTTGCAATAGCAGTTGTGGCGGAGGCAGCAGCAGCAGCAGCAGCAGCAGCAGAAGCAGCGGCGGGCAGACACACACAAGAAAAAAAAGAAAAAACAATATGATTTGTGTCATGGTCAACAAGCTTGGCGATGTCTACCACTCAGAGACCCAAACACAGATATCCCGACATTTTCTAAGAAGTACTGCCGCAGGGTTGGGCGAGCCCTGCATTCCCCAGTTTGGATGTAAGGAATGTGCAGCTGGTGTGGAATCTTGCGCTGGAGGCAATCAGGCTCCCAATGGGATTTGAGTTATGAGGTACTGTAGATGATCTGGTTCATTGTTTGCCTGATTATGTGTGCCTACCTGAACACATGTACATATGCATATATACTTACGTACATTTTATACCTACATACCCACATACCTGTATAGAGATGTAGAGATGTAGATAGACAGCTCGATAGATCTATACATAGATACATATGTAGACGGACGGATAGATAGGTAGATAGATAGATGGATATGTAATGATATGTAGATATGAACAGGGATAGTGAGAGGTGTGTAATTACGAATGCAGCACCTACATTGGTTCTTCAGGGATACTGGTAAGTGCAAGTCTGGAGTCTCCGTTACTGCTGGGTACCATGACTTCGAAAAGTTTCACGTGAAGCCCCACCTGAATCCAGCTTGTCCCAGCCCACCACCATGAAAGGAGATTACAAGTACCTTAAGCGAATGAATGCATGTTTCGCGGCATTGTTTGGGTTGATGGTTTGCGTACCCTGTTTAGTGAGTTTAGTGCGAAGGGCCGCAGGGAACGTTGTGTACGCATAAGAAGCTCAACTCTGAGTGCTAGGCCTCAGGCCTTACAAGTCCCAAAAACCCTGCAAGCATGCACCGTCACACAATCCTACGCCGGAATCCTACTGTTGATGGGAAAGCTCTGCAGAGCATGAGTAACAACATTTTCCAAGGCTAAGGTAGAACAGGTTCTGCAGGATGTTCAGTATCAATCCTGTAACTGTCTGATACCCAAATGTTAATTTCGTGATCCGCGTTCTTGTCCATCCCATTCTCCCCTAAACCTATAACCCTAAACCCTCCACCAACAGCCAGCCTGAAGCCCTGTAATGATAGTTCCATTTTCTTTTCTGTTATCCCTATATATATATATATACAACCCCATAATAACCCCAATATAACCCCATAATAGCCCCATACCCCTCGAACCCCCCAGAAGGCTCCGCAACCCGTATGGCAGCTACAGCCACGTTCTGTGGCAGCGTGAGGAGATGCACCTTGGCCTCGAGGTTTTATTTGGAGGAGGGTTTAGGGTTCAGG